GAACTAATATTTGTTTTCTTTCTTGCTTTTTCTTAACATTTTCCATTTTTCCTTTCGCTTTTTTCTCTGCATCTCTAACGGCAATCCGGCGGGCGGGCGTTCAGCAGAATCGAAGGACCAGGCACCACAAAGTGTTCGGCTCTGGAGTCTTACACATCCATTAACATCCCCAATCCCAATCCCAATCCCAGTGCCAATCCGCCTTGGTTGGCATCAAAAATGTACATCGAGTGCGGAGACGACTTCTTCTTTGAGTTTGCATATCTTTGCTTGGCAACCAATTTGAATACAGTAATACCAACAAAAAAAGCTATATATGTAAAATGTTCACGTATCATGTCCAAAACTCATCGATTTCTTAATGCTCTTCCATCAGAAATTTATGTCTGAATATTATTTTACTTTATCAATTTTATATATAAAATATATACTATGTATAAATTTATCTTTCATGCGAAATATAATTAAATGATAATTACATAAATAAATTATTTTTAGCTGAAGCATCATCTTTATCTACTTTAAGAAACAATTTTTCAAATTTTTTTCGAAAATACCAAAAATATTATTATTTGAAAAATACCAAATATATTACTTTCAGGAAAAATTTCAAAAACAATATTTTTCGAAAAAATACCAAGAATATTATTTTTCGAAAAATGAACCAAAAAAAAATTTTAAATTTACTCTACTAAAAATATTTTTTGAAAATATAAAAACGTATTTTCTTTCGAGAAAATATTATTTTTGAAAAATATATCCAAAAAATTTTTTTAAATATAATAATTAATCAAAAAGAAAATATGGAAGTAATGTTTTCTCTTAAAGGGATTTTCTTTTACTCTGATTTAATAGCCAGCCAAACGTTTACGAATGTCGCACAAAGCAGGGAACAAGAGAGCAAAGGCGACAATGTAAAGAAATAAAATGGCAAGAAAATGAGTTTTGGCTTCTGCCTTAAAGAGTTCCCACTTTCTTTCATTCCCCTAAAGCATGTCTCAAAATATCAAAATATAGTCATGAAATCTGTGTATTCAGCACAGCTTTATATAAAAAATTGAATAAATATAATATAAATGAATGCATTTAATATTACACTAAGGCTGCAGACAAAATGTGATTTCCAGCTGAATAAACAGAACGCGCTGTCGCTATGAAAATGCGTAAATATGATATGATTCATGACTATTCAAACGGATAACAGCCTGATGGCCTTATGGCCTTATGGCCGTATGGACGCCAGCTTTTTGACCAAATCACAAATCCCCAGATTTAAGTAAGCGTATATCAAAGACCAATTGTTTGCATAGCAAACGCTTGAACAGACCCTGAGCTCTGGGCGGGCGAACTATGGCCAGAAGGCAACTAAAGCGCGGCGGGCGGCCACGATATGAAGAGCTTGGTCCTTTGAAACTTAACACCAGGTGAGCAGAGCCTTTGTTAGTTCGAACCTAGAAAAAACAATAAAAAAAAAAAAAACTATATCTAGCTAGAGCATGGAATTTTGTGATTGGCTTCGACTGTGAAGCAACGTGCAGAGGCTGGCAAAAACTCTGTTGCCTTTGACTTTTACTTTGTGGTGCAGTGTGAAAAACAACAAAACAATGAAATATTTCCAAAATATGATTAAATACCAGACAAAGCCGAACATACCAAAGGCTACTAGTTAAACAAAGAACAAGTAAGACAAAGCAAGAGACAACAAATTCGTAAAAAGATGTCAAATTTAGCAAATAAATCAATAAATAGAGCAGATATTTACTTGGAGAATAAATCAACATTATGTGAGGATATTTGTTTTTTAGTTTAAATTTGTCATAGATTATAAGTTTTAATATATTTATGTATGTATGTCTGTATATATCACCCTTACCCAAGTCTAAAGCCCTTATCTATATAGAAATATATATGTAAGCATGTAATACATATTATTCACTTACCCAAAATTGCAATATCATTTCTGCTTGTAAGGTTGTAAAATGTGAGGCTTACTTGAGTTCATGAGATTCGCATAGAAGGTCAATATTTAAGATTACGTACGCAGCGAAAAGTAAGCTAAGTCTCCAAATGCATACTAAGTACAGTAGGTCAAAGATGAATATTAAAGTTTTTTATATTCTTATTAGAAAATTGCACTATTACAGTTTACTTTCCATCCATTTAATGCCAATATTTGGATTTTCGGAAGCGATGAATCACGTTGAAAAGAAGATTTTATAAAAATGAGAGACTGAAGTTAATTGAACGAAAAGCTCGTACGGTTTGGCGTGTGCGCCGATCACCAATCAATCAATTAATCAGTCAGACAATCAGTCAAGACAAAGAGTATTAAGTTCTTATATAAGTAATACCCTTACAAAGAGTAAGAGCACAAAGAGTAAGCACACATTTTGCAGCTCATCTATATTTTATTTGGATAACATGTTGATTTTAGCTGGCGTTGTAAGCATTGCCCTAGGCCAATGGTTTGATAGGTATTTGTATTGATGAATTAAATGCAATTGTATGAGTAAATATGCTGTTTATGCATTATACAAATGTACATACACACATACATACATATGTTCAATTCACACTTGGCGTAACTGCAAAAGCTATTCATATGCACAATTACACACACACACGCACGTACACACACGTACTCGCACTCAGCTGCTGCTGTGAGGCCCATGTAACTGTATGTTAAACGCATTTGTTGTTTTTTTTTATAACTTTTACCATGTGTTGCACTTCTGCACAAACGGGAAAAACAGAAAAACATAAAATAAAAACAGGAAGAAAACAACAACAACAACAAGACGAACGCACAGAAAAAAATTGTGTTGTAAACGAGGAATTTATGCGGAATAAACAATATGCACTATTTATGAACTGTACTTCATGCGAGAAATTAATCGCTTTAAATAAAAGCAAATAAACAACCAGCAAGAATGAAAATCAGCAAAATAAATATAAAAAAAATATTTAAAAAAATTGGGAAAAGAAGATCGTTTGATGAGCGACGCCGATTACCATGCGAGAAGGTTGTTAAAGGTTAAAGCTGCACTTTTTGGCGTTGCCACCTCGCCGCCCATGCATCCCATGCAGTTCATTTGTGCGAATGGCAAATATACCAATTAACATGCATCAACAGTTATAATAGACTTGACTGTCTGTGGCATAAAAACTATTCAAATTCTTTTTGCACATGTTTTTACATATTTTTAAATATACCATAAGCCGGACCGTAACTCGTAAAGACCAAACCGAACCGACGACAACTTTCACTTGCGCTTGCAGCCGTAATTAAAATAGTACTATCAGAATTGTTAGAGATGAGAGACGAGAGAGGTTGCTTCTATCAATCCTTTGAGCAGAATAACCAAAGTACTTCTTTTCCCATGCATAAGTCATGTATTCAGTTTATTTTCCTTAATATAAATAAGAAAAACTCTTCATTAGGCCTAGCATTGCTTAAATCGAGCAAATTAAATCGACTCTATTTATTTCCTAATACACTCTCTTTACTCCACCTCCATCACGTTCTCTGACTATATATAATAAGCTTTCAACTTCATGTCGTTTATAAGTATATTGTGTTTTCTATTGTGTAACATTTGCTTTTGTGAAAAGCTTATTAACATGTTCATGTTCATTATTCAAATTTGCATACCCACAATTATATTTTTCACGCAAATGCGATTTGAATAGAGTTGCAGCTTGGGAAATTAAATTGCATATTGAAGAGAAATATTTATTTATGCACTTAATTAGAATGCCATGGAACACTAGAATTTTTTTTCCTACCATCATACAATGTTTGACGCCTGTACGAAGTGAAGGAGCATGGGGTATTTTAATTGAATCTCACAATATGTAACTGGTGACTAAAGCTTGGTAGTCTTATTAATATATAGGTTAGGCCGAAATTATCGATTGCTCACGACATTTCCATGACATCGATAAGAATCGAATTGCGAATTAGGTTCAGCAACTCAAAGGAGCAAGATGACATTTGACTTTTCATAATTTGTAAATGTAGAGCTTTGGGCTTTAGTGGTAATAAAAGAAGAAGCACAGCTGCATTAATCGCTGAGCCTTAATAATAAACATTTATTAAAGGGTATACTATAGCCTGGCAGACCAGTTATAATTGTTTTTTATCCGTTTTTCATTTTGGCTTAGCCATGCGAAAAAGTTTACACATAAAAAACTATATGATAGATACTCCACTTAAACAAAATTATTTAGCGTGCCTGCATATATGAATAACCGAGAGTATATCCATTAATATATGTATATATACATATATACATATTTGTCAGTGGACAGAATTTATGTGTGCAAGCACAGGCCCACTACGATCTAATGACATTGTCCGGCATTTATTGGAAAACTTTCATTGCAACTAGAGTGTAAGATAAATAAACAAAATATCAACGTTGAAATGTTTTCACTGCAACTAGTTTTGCTTGCCATATGAATATATGAATATTGAGAAGGAAACCTTTTATTACCAAGCAGTACTTGGGTCTTGTCATGGCATAGAAGGGACAGCATTGGAATTTACAAGTTTCGAGTGCAATTCTGTGTACAGAGGGATTTCTGTTTGAAATTCTCTCGAGCCGACAATTTGGGCAACTTTTTAGATTATGCATAATAGAACGAGTACACAAAATTAAAACAACTTTTACTTGTGACATCTCTTAGTTTAGCTAACCACAATTGTTACCTTTAACTTTGAGCTGTATTTAAAATTTTAGTTGTATTTATTAAGTCAGCCAAACAGTTATTTGACTATATTTGGGCTGTTTTTGAATTAATATCAGAATAAAAAGAAAAGAGGCCTCAATTAATTTTAATATAAACCATTTGAACAATTTTCAATATTCGTATTGGCAAACTCATGAATACATTATGATTCGGAGTCCTATTATGTTCGATATTTATTTGAAAAAAACATCGTTGAGCTCAGCAATCGATTACTCAGTATCGATTACAACATCTACTCTAATCGATGCCCAGATATTCTCGCTCATCTCTAGTGTTGAACAATAAGAAGATAAATGTGTAAAGCTGATCATAAATATTGATTTTAAATTGTGCAGCTGATATTGTTATAAGGAAATCGATTCAACGGTAAATAATATTATATGCACTATATTAACACCAAAATGCAATATACATATGTATGTCAAAAATGAGTCTGATCCAGTTGAGCCTCTCGTTTGCTTTGGCCAATTGCAAGCGGACTTTAAGAATGGAATTCTCATTTTGTTTTTATTATGACGACAGTCAAAGCAAATTCTCAACCATAGCCAAGGATTTGTGTTCACTTCAGTCAGTCCGTCAGACCGTCAGTCAGTCAATATGCCAGAGTCCTGTCATATCGCCCGCCTTTGAGCCGCATTCCGAATGAATAATTGAAACAAATGCAGGCAACTTTTGAAGCACATGTACATCACAATGTGTCCGTCACTTCTCGAAGCCAACAAATGTGCCCACAACCCGCGGCCCACGCCTCAGCACATCCATCAAAGCAAGGACATTCGGCTAAATTTGGTAAATTGCTCTACAGTGGCATTTTGGCACTTGATTTTCCACAAAAATACTTTGATGTCGCGCTCTCTCTCAATCAGCACAATATTATTTTGTTAAATAACGTCTCTGACTAAAACTTTATTAAATTAGCTTAAAGTTTTTAATAAAACCCACTCTAAAAACCCTGTCAACATTCAAGGATTTTGAGAAAGAAATGTAAAGATTTTTATGGTCAAACAAATTTAATAAATTTATATTAATTGTTTGTTTTTCGTATAACATTGTTAAATTTAAGAACTGAAAATGTTGCATATTTTTAGTAGAAGCTTTTTCCCGTAACCTTTAACTAGTTCCCACCATTATAAACGAGAAGTTCCCGAAATATAGTTTATTATGAATTTAAACTAATTTATTTTCTCTTATTTTCCACCATTTTTTAGGATAAACCCAATTTTGTTTTTAAGAAACGTAACATTTGGAAGTTGAAAAAATGCAGACAAGCTTTGCTAAAGGAAAAACTATGGATAAGGAAAATTTAGGTGCTTGGTCGAATTCGCCGTCAGTTTTAATAATAGCATAAAAGTTTAAGTACTCAAATGCAGGTGCTGCTGACCCAAAGCAGGTGTCTATAATTACTTAATTAGGTAAGCAACCCAACTGTCTGGCTTCCCTCATGATAATTTCATATATGCCGTCTAGTGCAGCGTTGCCATCAAGTATAAAAGCCATGTCAGGTGTGGACATCTTAAACACTTGGACCGGCAACTGGCATCGGTAGACATGTTCAGGCGCAAGAAGCAGGAGCACGATTTGTACACCTTTGATGATCTGACACGATTCCCGATGGTGTTTTACAAGACAATTGGCGAGGATCTGTACTCGGAGCGGGACAAGAATCTGGTGCGTCGCTATTTGCTGCGCTTGTATCTGGTGTTGGGCTTTCTCAACTTCAATGCGTATGTTGTGGGCGAGATCGCCTACTTTATAGTGCATATAACATCGACAACGACCCTGCTGGAGGCGACCGCTGTGGCGCCCTGCATTGGCTTCAGTTTCATGGCCGATTTCAAGCAGTTCGGCTTGACGGTGAATCGGAAAACATTGGTCAAACTTCTGGACGATCTGAATGAAATATTTCCGATAACCATGGAGAAACAGAAAGCGTATCATGTGGCCTACTATAATAAGCACATGAATCGCGTCATGTGGCTATTCACCATACTCTGCATGACATACACCTCTTCATTCAGTTTCTATCCGGCCATCAAGTCGACAATTAAGTATTACTTTATGGGCTCCGAGATATTTGAGCGTAATTACGGCTTTCATATACTCTTTCCCTACGATGCGGAAACGGATATAACCGTCTATTGGTTCTCCTATTGGGGACTCGCCCATTGCGCCTATGTGGCCGGCGTCTCCTATGTGTGTGTGGATCTAGTGCTCATCACCACCATCACCCAGCTGACCATGCATTTCAATTATATGGCCGATATGCTTCACGAATACGACGGGGATGCCCACACCGAAGATGAGAATCTAAAATTTGCCCAGGATCTCGTGGTTTATCATTCGCGTGCCTTGGAGTAAGTACTGTCTGCTAGACTCCATATACCCTATAGTTGTTCAGCTTCACAGTTTTATCAATTGAAAGCTAGTTGAAGAACCTTCCGGTTCCATTATAAACAAATTCCATTTAGCTGGCAGCAGCAGAGCTATCAGATAAATGTATGTATAAATAAAAATGCTTGTCGGGAAGCAAACTTTCATGGTTTTAAAATCGAGGCATGGCAACTCTGGTTGTATGCTGAAAAGTTCAAAATAAATTTGTCCGAATTAAAAAAACAAACGCACACATGCGGCCGGAAAATTGTAAAAAAAAAAACCTGTCAGTTGCAACATTTTTTTGCTTGTTACTGAAACTCACTTTTTAAATATCTATGACATTTGCGAAAAGTCCACATCGCTGTATTAAAAAAAAGCAGGTTATTTTGGGATATTTAAATTATGCTACGGCTGGCAAATGAGTGGAAAAGTATTATTTATAATTGGATGAAAAAATGTTGTCCTAATGAGCTGGAAAAACATTTATTTTACTAACTAAAAAATAAGCGAAAAAATACATAAAAAAATATTTGGCTACATTTTGGCCAAATATTACGTTTTTAATTATATAAGCTCCAACTGTGGATAAATAATTGGGTCCTTGCATAAAAATTTGTTTGACTTTATGTTTCGGTTGATTCGAGCTAACAATTAATTAAAAGCCACAGTTTTATAAAGTTTATCTTGAGCAAAAAAAAAAATAAGAAAATTGTATAATAAATCCTTTTTTGATTCAAGTCAGTTTTCATTGTGTCGAGATTGTTTGAAATTTGTGAAAATTTTAACGCGTTTTAATTTTGATTTATCGCTTTCTACAATTTGGATAGATTTTGATAAAGAAAATATGATTTTATTGTACACAATATGTCTATAAGATAACTTTAGTTTTTTGTTTTTCTTGCAGCCTCAGCGAGGAGGTGAACAACATTTTCAGCTTTACAATTCTGTGGAATTTCATAGCCGCCTCTCTGGTGATTTGCTTTGCTGGCTTTCAAATCACCGCCTCCAACGTGGAGGATATTGTGCTCTATTTCATATTCTTCTCGGCATCGCTGGTACAGGTGTTTGTTGTGTGCTATTATGGCGACGAGATGATCTCATCGGTGAGTACGCATGACCTAGCTAGAAAAAATACTAATTTCATTTCCCATTCATTTAGAGCTCTCGTATTGGCGACTCGGCATTCAATCACAATTGGCTGGGCTGCGGCTCGAAATACAAGCAGATCATGCGTTATATTATAATGCGCAGCCAGAAGCCCGCCTCTATACGACCGCCCACATTTCCGCCCATCTCGTTTAACACGTTCATGAAGGTAATCAGCATGTCGTATCAATTTTTTGCCCTACTGCGCACCACATACTATGGCTGAGCCTTAATACTCTACTAACCGCACTTTAAATTCTTTATGTAGATTGCATGTTAATAAATTAAACAGCTGATTAACACATTAAAACTAACAATGAGGTTCGCATTAAGTTGAAGAAATTTAATCAATTCTATGATTTCTTTCTTTAGATTGTATACAGATATATAATCCCATCCAATGTTGGGAATCTTCTAAAAATGTCTTTAACAAAAAGTTTTCTAATATAAGAAAGATAATCTAAAAAGTGAAATATTCTCCAGCTAGCTCTTATAATTCTCGAGTTATGCTTAAACAAAACTTCAGATCGATATTTATCGAAGCCTTTTGATAATTATCGGAATGATTCGATAATTATCGTTGCTATGAGAATTGGAGACAACGAAAACAAGGATCAAAATATGTTTTCTAAACATTTATTATTCACAGACGAACAGACATAGCCGGATTGTCTCTGCCTATCCTCTCGATCAAGAATCACATCCTTTGTTATTTTCTTCTGCCTGTTGTACATAATTGCCCAAAATGAGCCCTTATAGCCATTTCCAAAGGTTTGCGACTTTTTGACATTTAAATTAAATTTAATTGCACACATAAAACTGTCAGTTAAGCATTTGCCTTCAAGTTGTTAACTATACCAGGCTTATTTCAATCGTTAAGCAATTAAATTTAAGTTAATTTGCATAGTCAATTTGCAATTTGCACATTGTTATCATATTTTGTCTAAGTCAAGTGTTTGCTTTAATAGCTCGATAGCAAATCCATTCAGTTGTCTTAATCAATTGCGAGGCCTGGGAAATGGTTTGTCTGCCGCACTTATAATTGGGCTCATCGTTTATGTATTTATTTGTTAAGCCTACAAATATATCAAATGACGCTTTGGCAATTTATGGCATTAGCTGATTGGCTGGGCAACATTTTCACACCTTGGATGGTTATTGCAATTATTTATGTTATGGGAATCGCACGTGTGTTTCGCTTGTATTTCATTTTCATATTAATTTTAAAGAGATGCAAAAACTTTGGGCCCTTGCATCAATCCAAAGCTATTTATTCATATATAAATGTAGATATGTATGAAATTTGTTAATTTGAATTTGTGGATGGGCGTATTTGCATATGCCCATATTTTTTGTGCGCTGCAGCTGTCAATTGCGAACTGTTTGTTGTTGTAATTTTTAATTACATATCAGCAATTAATAAATATTTACACATAACTTTTCCCACACACACACACACGATTAACACCCACACGATAACTCATACACACGGTCGCTCAGTTGTCTGTCTGCTTTTGAATAATAATCAATAAATGTCAAATGCAATCAAAGTCCATAAAACCTGAGTGTGCTTCGAGTGTCGCTGTGTGTGTGTGTGTGTGTGTGTGTGTGTGTGTTTGACGAAGGGTGGGCCGAGGGCGGAGCAGGGGCACTCTCAAATGGTTCCCATAATAATGACCCTTGCCAGGATTAGCTAAAGTCCTACTTGTCGCACTCTGTCACAAGTTTATTTACATTTTCAAAAGCCATGAAAATCGCATAGAGGGGCGTTTTTTTTTTAAAGTGCAGTAAAGCTATCAAATAAAGTAAGATTAACTTGATTTGGACGGAAAGACTTAGGTTTGAATAATTTATAGTCAGATATTTTTTAAAGTGAATTTTCCTTCCATCTCTACCTCTAAAGTTAGCTGCGATTAGTCTTGAAATGAGCCTAATGCATTAAATGTTAGAAATGTTTGTGATGTCTGCCATTATTCTCTGATTGACAATATATGCGAAAGGTCTTTATTTTCCATTTTAAATATGTCTGATATGTAGTTGACAGATGAAGGCTGCTGCCACAGCAGCTCATCAAATTCCAAATTCAAAACGAATTTGAAATTCCATTCGGGGACACGTACAGACTCATTTAAAACTTGATATTATTGCTGGGCTGCTCCAAAACCAAATGTGTCCCAAATTGTTGTCAGCTAAGTAGTTGTCGTTATTGTAGTTGTTGTTTGTGTCCTTTGGCGGTTACAAGTTTGTTGCAAGGCAGCCTCAACGTGCCCACATATCCACCCACAACACACACACCACAACACACACACCACAACACACACACCACAACACACACACCACAACACACACACACACACAGCTCATGCACGCTTACATACATAGTTGAAGTCCCAAATGCGCCACTAATTTGTGGGCATGTTTAATGCTTGCCTGGCTTTTTATGACCATCTTCTGACGAATCCGTTAAGACGGCATCTTATACACTCGAGCACGCGTGCCAGCTGCCAGTTATTATCAATTTGGGGCTACAAGCAGCATTTTACCAGGTACAGTTGGGCTGCCTGTCAGCTAGCTATTCACCTAGATAGTTACTCGTCTGTATCTACTTAATAATTTTGTAGTTTGTAGTCTTTTACACCTGTGCACTCGCTTCGACTTTTGTGGTCACGCCTGTGACCTTATCTAATAATAATAATACTAACATTTATCCTCAGGATAAATTTCATTGAAGCCGCTATAAGTTACGAACAAAGAACATTTCCCTTTAAAATCTGCTTTGCACATTTTGTTTTTACCCTAGGCATATTTAATTTTAAGATCTCGGGCTTAGGTCTTTCCCATCTAGTAACTGACTATCTAATCTAACAAAAAATACAATTGTATTAATTTGTTGAACTGGGAATGTTCAATTAATTTTGGTATATTTTATATGCTCGTTTCTGCCAAAACGCATTCAACTTTCAATAAATTCATTTCGATTCATCATCTGAGGTTTCCGACTTGATGTCGGGTGTATCCTCGCGATTGGCAAAAGCGCCATCTATGGGCCAAGTATTGCGACGCTTGCCACCCAACTTTACGATATTCTCATTCTCCTTGTTGAGCACCGCCACGATGACCTTTTGCACCAGCTTCTTGGCCTCGGTCAATATTGGTTCTTTAGATTTCTTTGGCTCCGGCGGCATATCATCTTCGGACTTGAAATGGGCATCGCTCGCACTGTAATCGTCAGAGCGCAGATCATCCTCCATATCATGATCAAAGTAATTCTCCTGTACATTGCGCTGTAGTTCGTCAAATTGAAGATTGGATTGAGCCTCATCTGTTGGCTGATACTTGCTATGGCGGCTTTCCACATCGCTGGCCGTGACCTCGCCCTCCGATGATATCAGAATGGATTCATCGTCATCGGAGCCATCGGTGGGATACGAGTAGCCAAGCAAGCAAATGGTTGCATTGCCCATCGATTCAAGCACTACGCGTTCACCCTTGCTGAAGTTCAAGTCGAGTGCAGTTTGCGGCGTACCGTGCGATAAGGTTGCCACAACATATTTCTCATTCTTAATAGTCATATATAATTTGGCATATTCTCCCTCATCAATTGCCACACTGGAGACGTGAAATGCCTTGGTCACTTGCTGGGTGTACTTACAGTACGGTTTCATAATTAATCCATAGAACGAGGACATCTTCAAGTGCTTGGATCTTTGGTTCTTCTATACACTAGTTAAGCTTTCAGGCTATTCTATTTAGCCACGTGGCAGTAACTGCTGATGGGCACAGCTTACAAGTTATCGATAGCTATCGATTAATCGTATTTGCGGGCAAGAAACAGGACTCTTTGTGAAGAAGTCGTTGGTATATTGTAACTGTGACTTGTCTGGCTCACTTTGGACCTTTGAAAATGTCGTGACTCGCTATTTGGAAGAACGAAATACCCAGTTTGACAACCCTAACGAATATTTGAAGTAAACTTTATCTGAGGGAATAACTGCTTTAATTGTTATACCCTTTCAGAGAGTATTATCAATTTGTCACGGAATCAGACTCTTGCAACGCTATAAGGAAAATATATATTTGATCAGTATCAGAACCCGAGTCGAGTCAGTTTCTAGGCAAAAGAACCTCTCAGTTTTTCAGCTATTGTCACTCAACTTTGCATAGCTACGTGATTCTAATGCAGGCACCGACTGAATCGGACCTCTATATCATATGGCTAAAAAAATTTTGTTTTTCTATAAGAAACTTCTTTATTTATCCAATACATATGGGTATAATCTTATCAACATCGGCTTACTATATTATTTAGCTGTTAGGGAAGAATTGTTAAAAAAAAAATAATTGGGTTTTTGTGTGAACAACTTTAATCTTTTATCTATTCTTCAAGATATCTAAATAAATCTTGGCCTATATATATATATGTATATATATGTGATTTGTATTAAAATATATATATGCTTGAACAAATATATATGTATATCATATCTTATGGCTGCTATAGGAACAATCGGTCGAAAAAAAACTTGTATAAGAACAACTCTTTGCTAGACATAAAGTTGGTAAGGGTACTCAGACTTTGGCAAGCTAGGATAACCTTTCTTATACCCTTGTCTCTACAAGGTATTATAATTTTGCCATTTAATGTGTAACGCAAAGAAGGAGACATGTTCGTAGATATTTTCGAGCTGCAATATTCTCATGTATCTGCAAAAGGTAAATGCTTACAAGGTTATTAAATCTTCGGCGTGTCGGTAATAGCCTTGCTTTCTCGTTCTTGTCTTGTTTTCTGATTTGAAATCGCAAACAAATATCATATGTACACAGAGAGAAAAACGGCGGCCCAATTCCAATACTTATCGTACTTGATTCTATACCAAAACAATCGTAAAGTTTTGAGCCCGAATCGAGCTAAGAATTCTTGAGCTAAGTATAATTCATACTTATTTCATTTAAGCTCTAAAAGCTCTTAGAATAAGTATTAATATTCTTGAATCAAGTAAAGAAATTGTAAAAAGTTTAAGTTTATTTTTCAATAATTGTTAGACACGATGCGGGTCTTACGAAATGGATATGTGTATATGTATGCATGCATATGTACATATATACATATATGTATATATTCGCAATTGTTGTTCGTCTATTTTTGGACCTATTGACCAAGTATTTTTTTTTTTTTATTTATGATGTTTTCTGGCCTGGTTAATGATGCAGCTGCCAATTGAACTTTGATATGCCATGTTTTATGATGTGGCAGGCGAAGCTGTTGCCCGTAGGAGCCGCCACAGAGCTCCCAA